ATGAAAAGAAAAGAAAAGTTATTTTTGATTTTGATTAAGTTTACATAATAAAAGATAAAAAATCAAATTAAATTACTTGATAATTTACTCACTATTAATTGCCTCATATATTCTTCACAGATATCAAAGCTCCTTTAGTACAATTCTAAGTATTGGTTAATTGGTAGCAATCTATTTCTTTTACTAGTGATAGTAATTTTTCTGTCTTTGGCAGCAGGTGTAATTTAGCAATGTCACTTTTGTTTTCGATTGACCACAATTTCCAGTTGTTTATTTTTGATTTTGTTTTATAATATTTCAAACTGTTGAATTTAAAATTTTGAATTTTTTTACTATTTAACCTATAGAATATTTTTTTTGCCATAATGTAAATATTTCAGATCATTTTTCTACAGTTACCTCTTGTTTTCTGGTGATTTATGTAAAAGTATCCACAATTTATATAAATTATTAAATGCGAGACTAAAAATCAAAATTCACTCCAGCAAAACTTTATCATAAACAAATCTCTTGAAATAAAATGGTCGGTAGTGTTTATATTTATAACTATATTTGTATAAAGTGTCTTTTTATTATTGATGTTCAGAATGAAAGAAAAAGTTTCTCAGCTACAAGAAATTTTTCCATTCAAATCAGTATCGTTTTTACAAGAAACGCTTTTGTCTGTCGGTAGTATTGATGGCGCTTGTCAGTTATTGTTTGAGCAAGATAGCAAAGTTGAAAGTTACAACAAGGTTTTTTTTTTAATTTAAAGAATGAAACATATCTTTTTTTTTTTTTTTTTTTTTTCAAAATAAATTTTGTAACTTCTTTTTTTATCTGTATTAAGCTCAAGGTACACAAAACATCATCAAAGAAAGCATGTTTGTCAGATAGTGACTTAGCTCGCCTCAAGCAAGATGCTCTTTTAAAGTATATTTGTTTTGATACCAAAGTTTTTTTATTGATTATTGTGATATTTTTTTATTGATTATAAATTTAAAATTATTAAAATACTGTAGTTGTGACTTCATTAATTTAAATATATATTTTTTTAATTCTAATTTATTTTTTAATTATTTTTTAGGTATTCATTGGTTGTAGAGAAATCTGAACCATACAAACCCATTGTTTTTGTAGAAAAGGTTTTTAGTCTTTTATTGTCCTATTTTTATTATTTTTATTTATTTATTATGATTATTTATTTATTAAGTATCAGTGTTTCTACTCCTCCTTAAAAGTCCTTAAACAACCTTAAAAAACCCTTTTTATATATAACCTCAAAAGATTCAAAGAGCTATAAATGTGCCTTAAGAAAGTAATGCTCATTTCATTGATAAATTAATTTTAATTACAAACCAATAATGTTTTTTAAGCCTGTTTACAGAAAAGCTGTTTTTAATCAAGCAAATTAATTTTGTTTCATTTGTGGTTCCAAAGAAGAAACATTACTACTAAGGAAAATTATTCTCATATTTTCTGTTGAAATTATATATGGGCTTCTAATTCAATTTTTCAAATATGTTTGACAAATTTGACAGGATTGGCAAAATGTAATGATATTTGGAATACCAGTGATTTAAAAGGAGTCAAAAGAGTAGAATGAAAATTTAACATTTAAATTTACCATCATCTTTTTTTAATGGTTACCAATTGGAATGAAATTTCCAGTGCAACAAAGTTTGGCAATCAAAATGATGAAGAGAGAATATTTGGCTCAGAAAATGGTCAAATGAAGATAAACAGAGAGATAAACTACATGATTGCACAGAAATTTTTACCAATAAACGTAATGAGTTTAGTATTTTAAATGGTCAAATATACAACCATTGATTGACAAAAATAAAATTGTATTTTCCTCCATATAAATTTAGGATTGATTAAACAATTTTGTGAATGTACCAGATTATTTTAATTTTTATATTAAAGTATAGATAAAACTTTTAGATTTATTTTAGAGAGACTTGTTCATAGAATAAAAATATACTTTCTTCTAAATTAGATCTACACGGAAATAGTTATTTTACTGACCACAATATCGTTTTTAAAATATCAATGACCTTGCAGACTCAGATTTTACTCATATAATTGACAGATTTTACTCATATAATTGATTTTTTTTTTTGTTCATAATATTTTGCTGATTTGTTAACAGTAATAGCAGATATGTTTTATCATGCATTAGATAAAGGTGGAGAAGTTAAGGCCATCGCTCTTGACATTTCTAAAACTTTTGATAAAGTTTAGCATGATGGTCTTTTCCATAATCTTTCTTCTTACGGTATATCTGGTAAAATCTTTAAGATTATTGAATCCTTCCTTTTCAATCGTAGTATAAAAGTTGTCTTCGATGGACAGCACTTTTCTTCATATACTGTAACATCAGGGGTTCCTCAAGGTTCAATCCTTGGCCCTATATTCTTTTTGATTAACATTAACAATCGTCCAGATATTCTCACATCTAAGATGGCATTGTTCACTGATGATACTACCATTTATTCTTGTCATGATAAGAAACCAACACTCTCTGATTGCTTGGAGGGGGCATTTGAGCTTGAAAAGGATCTCACTTCTGCTACAGCATGAAGCTCACAGTGGCTGTTAAACTTTAATTCAGATAAAACTCAATTTTTTTCAGCCAATTGCTATCGCAATAATTTAGACCTTCCTATATTTATGAACGGTAATGTACTCAATGAGTCATCTACACTTCATCTTCTTGGATTAACTCTTACTTTCAATTTTTCTTGGAAACCATATATCAAATCTGTTGCAAAATTAGCATCTGCTAAGGTTGCAATTTAATCAAAAATCAGGTTTTTGAGATATTTAAGCATTTCATTGCAAAAATGCAATTTAGAGTTAGTAAGTAAAAGCAAAGTTTGTGTATGTCTTACAAAATGTCCTAAAAAACTCAAAATATTTAACATAGCAATCTAAAATTTTGGCAATCTTCATTAACAAAGTACTGAGAAAATTTTATCAAAATCTGAGATAATCGAGTGGGGCTGATTTCTGAAATTGGACCATTTGGCATGGAATGGCACATTTACCATAATTTTAAAGACAATTTAGGCTGGATCCTTAATAAGTAGCTGTTGCATAATAGTTCTGATAGTGGAATAACTACCTCAGAAATTGATTTGTTCATTAATGTAAAGGGTGATGCACTAACTTGTAAGACAGCGCTTTGCAGTTATTTAAACAAACTTTGCTATTGCTTTTTTTTTTTAACTCTTTTTTTTATTTTATATGTATCATAGATTGATTTTTTGATTTTTAGTTATAAATTAAACTTACATTAGTTAAAATTACTTTTATAGAAAAAATAAATAAAAACAAAAAGTAAAACAAAACAAACTACTGTTTGTTTTGTTTTCTATATAAATAAGTTTAGCAAATTTTCAGTGATTCCTCAGAAGCTTTTTAATTAAAAAAGTTACTAATGTATCAAAAGTGCTTTGTAATTAAAGTATAAATGTAATTAAGCTCAAAAATATATATAGTATGTATAAATAAATAAGGATTTTAGTGTGTTTATTCTAATAACTCATCTTTTTTTGTGTTATTGTGTAGTTTATTAACTCTTTTGTTATTGAATTTATTTTTTACATTACACTATATTGTAAGAGTAACTATTACAGTTAATAAAAAACCAACATTTTTCTCACTCTCAAGTTGATGATATAGAGTAAATCTAAAAACTTTAATTTTATTTGAACAAAAGCATTTCTTGTTGATCACTTTTTAAATAAATTTTCAGATAAAGATTTTTATATATTTTCTTCTAACATAGACTTATTAAGAAACATTGGCTATACACGACATAAATTTTATTTTCAACTTTATTTAGTGATAAGCATTTAAAATTATAAAAAAATTATACAACAGTTAATTAGCCATAAAATAAAGTTTCAATAGAAATGAAGCAATTAAATGGATTAAATGATGCAATTAATTACAAACACGAGTAAGTGAAATAAAAAATATCAGTCTCTACATTTTTCTGCACATAAAAATCCATTGCCAAATAAATAACATAGTAATCAGGTATTTTTTTTTAATTAATAATTAGTTTTTTTTTTTTTTTGACAAGTAAACAGGTATTTTTTTGGCCTGCAAGCTTTGACATTTTAAATTTTTGCATGTAAGCCATTGGTTAATTTCATTTGTTGCATTTTTGCTCCAACATTTTAGGCACTTGTATTATTTTTTTGTTTTTTCTTCAATGTTTATATTGTGATTTGACTCTCTAATCGCTGATTATTTTGTGTAGCGTTAAAATCTTTTCTCTTTTTTTTTTTTAAATTCTCTTATTCTTCTAGTGCTTGTTTGACTTTGACTATGTTTAGCATCTTGTGTAAATTTAGACATTCTCCTTCATGTCTGTTAATTCTGCATTTTTCCCCTTTGTAGTGAAAACATGATTGGCTTGTAATTGTTTTTTTAATGCACCTTCTTTGAGCAGTTCTCTTTTCTTGAATTCTAGTTTGAATTAGATCAACATTTGCTTTTGGATTTATGACAAATACTGATTGAGACTGGGTGTGTGGATAAGTTACTATTATCGATTCAGTATTTTGGCGTAGTTGTAGTTACCTGGTAAAGATATAGAAGTGTGAACAACTTTAAACAGATTGAGCAGGTGGTTAAAATATTTCTGCAACTTGCATTTTAAAATTGTCAACTTTAAAAATGCATTTTAAAATTGTCAATTGTTTATGTTTAGTGGATAAAAGCTCGTATTTTGAAATCCTGCAATAGTTTAAATGGGGTGAAACTTTTACCAGAATAAAAGAGTTTTGGTTGAAGCTGAATGAAAGTATTTTATAGATAAATTGCTGCATAGTGAGGTGGTGTAATATTCATTTAGTGGATCGTCAAATGGTAAGAATAAATATCTTTCATTTAACCTGACGGTGAAGTTGTGTATTCTGCATATTTTTTTAAGCCTTTTGTGCATCAATTTACTACAAAGTGTTTAGCTTTAAATATTATAAACATTTTAAGTGCAACTTCAGCAGCATTTTCCTATCGTGTAGTTTATTTTTTTATTATTTCAGTTACTTTAAGAAGACCACAAAATCTTGGAACCACAATTGCAGAAAATTGTTGGATTACTTTAGCCACCTCTGAAGCCAATTTCATCAAAATTCCAAACATTTAACATAGAGTATTTGTTGATGTTTTCTTCAAAAAAGTTGAGTCGTGTGTATTAAAACATTTACACTTTTTTCAGTACAAGTAGCTGCTATTAATATTGCAATTTTGCCTGCAGTTTCACTAATAAATATTTATAAGCAGTATTATATTAATTGAAATTGCAGAATAAAGTTTCTGATCAGTGCAATTTGCTTTTTTGTTTGCTTATGAAATGCATAGTGTGAATCTTTCTTCATTGACTGAGATAAAGTGATTAATTTAAGTTATTAATTTAGGCACGTTACTTGCACTTATATAAAGGGTAGATGTGTAATTAAATTTTGATAAATAAACGTGAAATAGTTTTATAAATATATAAAATAAATGAATAGTGTGTTTCATTAAGCAGGAATTCTTTTTATTTTATCAATTTTTGCTTTTTTAACTTTGTCCTAGAACAACAAAATTGAATTTTTAAAAAAGGATCATCTTCACCAAAAATCATCTTCACCAGTATTTTCATTACAAAACTACATTTTATGTTTAGTGCAGAAATTTATTATTTACATAACTAGGAGGACAGATAGTGAATAAAATTTTAAATATTACACTCACAGCAACCCTTTTTAACTCATGTTAAAGTCTTTTAATTAAAAACCAAATAGTTATATATTGTATGATAAAGCAAAAAATACAACAAAGTAAAAAAAAATTAAAAATAATTTTCCCTTTAAAAGATAATTCATAAAAACTAAAAATACAAAAATTGTTCAATTTTACATGTAGTTCCATTATACCCACTTTTTTTTTTAAATACATCTTCAATTCCCACAAGGCTGCAAGCAACCACTATTAGAGTTGGAAGTTACTGGATAAGAAAAGATGAAGGTTATAAAGCAAGATACTGATTACCAGACGATTTATAAGAATAAATAGATTAAATTCCAAAAAACTGATGTTTGAGGAAAAAAAACTAAATGAATAAGAATTTTTGGAGAAGCAGTCACAGTAAAAGGATGAGACCTAATTGAATGATGAGTAAAACCAAAATTAATTTTAGTAGATGGCACAAGAGACATAAGCTCTTTAGAGCAGTGCCCATTATAGTATTTATAGAAAAGAGAAAGAGAAGCAACATTACCATGATGTGACAATGGTTGAAGATTGTCTGCATAAGGAGGTCCAACTATGTCTTCAATGCGTTTTTGCATCTTGTTTGAAAGAGAAAGAACATCATTTGAAGATCTGCCCCAGATATGGCAACAGTATTTCATACAAAGATGGATTTGAGATTTATAAAGATAAAGAATAAAATCTGGAGTAGGAAAGTGACAAGCACAATAAAGAGGTGCAACCTTAGCAAAAGCTCAATTTGCATTGGATTTGATATATTGTTTCCAAGAAAGATTGGAAGAAAGAGTTAATCAAGAAGATGAAGAATAGATGACTCTTTGCCATTCATAAATAAAGGAAGATCTAGATTATTGTGATAACAATTAGCTGGGAAAAAAAAGTTTTATATGAGTTAAAGTTCACCAACTATTGAGAGCCTCATGCTCTAGCAGAATTGAGATGATTTTTAAGTTCAAAATCCCCCTCCAAGCAATCAGAGAGTATTAGCTTTTTATCAAGACAAGAATAAATGGTAGTATCATCAGCGAACAATGCCACCTGAGATGTGAAAATTTCTGGGAGAATGTTAATGTAACTTAAAAAAAAGTTTAAAATCCAGAATAGAAACAAGAGGAACCTCTAAAGTTACAGGAAATGAAGAAGAGTGCTGTAACTTGAGGAAAGCCAGCATGTCAAACTTTATTAAAGGTTTTAGAAATTTCAAGAACCTTAACCTCTTTTTTACTTTACATAGTTTCAATTATTTACATTGTAAAGTTTCATCAGATGCTTCACCTTTTTTTTCATTGAAAATAAATACTTATCTCTTTATCACTTTATTAGCATTTCACCAATAATATGTTTAATTTTTTTCTTTTTCTTAATTTGCAGCTTTTTATGAAATACTAATTACTAATGCTGTCTTGATAGCAGTTTTGATAGTTTACTATACCGTACGATTTCCATTTGGCAAAACCTTTTTTGGTGTTGATCTAATCGGTATCTAAAAACGTATTGCAAAAGAGTTTTTACCAAATGATAAAAACAATGTTAAATGGATGACTTTACATGCCAATTTCAATACAGAAGCATGTGTCACAATTTAAAATGACCAAACAGTATATGCCTCTTATTTGACTGTCTCTTTCAATATTATTGAGTCATTTTTTGGCACCTGAAATTTTAAAAAATTTAATTAAAAATTTAATTCCAAGTCAGTTAAATCAAATCTATAAAAATTTATTTTCATGGACTAGTAAATCCATTTTATTGTATCTATAAATGTTTTTGTGTATTGTTATTGCAAATACTATTGTGAGAATAGTATGCGATGTTCATATTGCTCCAAAATTTATAATTCTTATTACTACAAACTGAGACCTCTATCTAAATATCTTCTTTTGGAAACCAGTAGAAACATTTTTATTTACCTTATTTTCACTTGAATATAATAAAGTTATCTATTATTACTGTACCATATTAACTTTAACTATATTTTCCAGCAACAATTGTCTATACTTTTTAATTTGAATATATATATGTGCGTGTGTGCGTGTGTTTGAATCAGGGATGCGGAGTTCCAAAAGGACTCCGGCTTTATATCTCTCCTTTTTCTAAGTCTGTACTGTTCAGAAGCTCTAAACATGTTTTTTGGCTTATGATCTGCTACAAGAAAAAGATTCATGAGATTTAATGACTTGAAACTTATTGTTTTTAGGCCTGGAGTCCCGGAGTCCTTGCCGCCATTATACCTAAAAACTCTGGGTTCAACAAATGATTGTTCCTCAAACTTAAAAGTCTTAATTTTTTTCCTATTAGTAGTCCATAAACTTATTTATATTTTTAGAGTTCTTGGATACCAAAAACTAGGATGAAGTAATCTCTTTGTGACTTTCAAATCTGGAGTCTTTTTTAGGACTCCGCGGTTTATATAATTTAACTTATCTAATTTTCTTCAACAACTTGTTGAAGAAAGTTAGATAAGTGTTTTTACTAATTTATTATTGCTGTTTTTTAAGAACATTTAACATTTAAAATAGTTAACACTAAAATACGATTCGAAAATTTTCATAAATCGAATCCTTACTCATTTTGTTTTTGTTGTGGGTGTTTTAGATATTCTGCGCTTTGGCACAATCAAAATAATGTTACTTATACTTAAATACCTTTTTAATCAGTCATTAAAAAGGTTAACCAGGGCAAGAAGCATCAATAAATAGATTATACAGTTATTTTGTTTTATTTTGAAATATATTATTAAATAAAAAATGCTTAAATTTAGACTTCAAAATGTTGATTCGAAACTTGATTCAAATCGCAAATCAAGACCTGCTTTGATTCCAGGTTCGACTCGAAACAAAAACTGACAATTTGCAGGGCCCTAATATATATATATATATATATATATATATATATATATATATATATATATATATATATATATATATATATATATATATATATATATATATATATATATATATATATATATATATATATGTATATATATATATATATATATATGTATATATATATATATATATATATATATATATATATATATATATATATATATATATATGTATACATATATATATATATGTATACATATATATATATATGTATACATATATATATATATGTATACATATATATATATATATATATATATATAATATATATATATATATATATGTATACATATATATAAATATATATATATATATATATATATATATACATACATATATATATATATATATATATATATATATATATCTATATATATATATATATATATATATATATATATATTCATATATATATATATATGTATATATATATATATATATACATATATATATATATATGTATATATATATATATATATACATATATATATATATACATTATGACACATGCTTCTGTATTTTTCGACTCGAAACAAAAACTGACAATTCGCAGGGCCCTAATATATATATATATATATATATATATATATATATATATATATATATATATATATATATATATATATATATATATATGTATACATACATATATATATATATATATATATATATATATATATTCATATATATATTATATGTATATATATATATATATATATATATATATATATATATATATATATATATATATATATATATATTTATGATAGATGTCTTCTTGGCTTTAATCAAATCTCTTATATCTTAGTAAATTAAAAGGTCATTCAATTTAAATAAAAATCTTTAAAAACAGGTGCGATATATGGGTTTATGTGCTTATAAGTTGGCTTTTAAAATTAGATACAATCTATCGTTTCTGAACTTGATATCAAGTTAATAGTTTATTTATTGAGTTAATAGTATATTTTATAAATGTGTAATAACACGTCAAAAAGAACATAAATTACAATAACGTTTTTCTATTCATTTTTGTTGTTATTTTTGTAGGATTCAAAAGTTGAACCGCTAAACAACATTAAAGAAAATTTGTTTTCATCTGAAAAGCAATCAAGTAGTTGTCAAACTTTAACTAAAGGGAAGATATCTAAAATCAATCCCAAAACTAATAAAAAGTCAAAGCCCCCCTAATTTTTTTATTGATTTTTATTCCTTCTCTTTGGGTAAAGTATTTTGTGTGTGTTTGTGTGCAATAGTTTATATTTTAATAAACTTGCAAATTTAAATTGGATATTATGTATATAGATTTTTTTTATATATCTGTTAGACGAAAGATAGATTTTATTATATCTGTTTGACGGAAGTAATACTGCAAAGATGTTGTTCACCCAGTAATGTTTTCTGCTGGTATGGGGCCGTATTCTCATATATCTTTCAAAACTTAACGAAGTATTAGTCAAAATTCTTTTAAAATATTATTTTTGTATTATTAGTTTTATTTAAATAAAGATTTTTATCATTTCTTAACTTTAAAAGTTGTAATAAAATTTTCCACTAAAGCTCCGTTAAATTTACGATGAGATGTGAACACAGCCCCTGGTTATCAACAGAATAAAAATCACGTGGATTGATATTAATTTTTTTTTTTTCGTTTTAACTTTTAGTCAAAATATTATTTTGTTTTTAGATGATAAAAACAATGTAAATAATTACTTTAATTGTGACGTGAAGTTTTGTTGTTGTGATAAATATTTTGATGTGGAGTTGTGTTATAATAATTATATTTAGAAATACTACTAATTTATTTTTTGAAACATTTTGGAACTTAAAAATTTTCTAAATATTTTTAAATTTGTACATTAATTTTGAATACTTAGTAAGTAAAATTAAAATTAGGTATCGAAGTTTTTTGAAAAAAGATCATTTCAGTTCGTATGATGGGCGTAAGTAGTTATGTTGTAACGGATGTTGCTATGTACAGTGTAAAATTAATAGTTGTTAAATTTTATTTAATATTTTGCATGAGTGGAAAACGTTATCCTTGGTTATAATAAAAAGTGATAGTCACCAATTTTTATATTTTTATAAGATGATTTATGTCATTTTTAATAAAAGTTTTACGTATGTTAACTTTTCTGCATTTTGAATTTCTTTTTACCAAATGAATATTTTAAGTATTGTAGTATGTTTTCTTCGCATTTCTTTTACAGATATTTTTTATATGGTTCATCTTACTGAAAAAAGAGAGTTTCGACTAATTTATTATTTATCCCCTAAAATTATCGTTGTTAATACTACCGATTTATAGTAGTCATAAAATATCGAAAAATTGAAAAAAAACTTCCGTTAATGTTTATCCATCTCATACAATAACCATGAACCTTTGCACCGAACACCATAATCTTAGCATTAAAAAGTGACTCTTTATTTTTAGCATTAAAAAGTGACTCTTTATTAAAATTAGTCGTTCTTTCTGAGATAAGTCTAAACTTAGGCAACTTTTAACGAGACAACTTTTCTCAGACAACCTTTAGCTAGAGTTTTGTTGAAGATTTGTCCAAAGTCTATTTCTTATATTATGTATATGTATCTTTTTATTACTAAACGTGTCTGCATAGCTGCTCAACTTACCCTTTTTAAGCATATCTTAGCATGATTTTTCTTTTCTTTTTAATACTATACTAATAAATCCAAAGTACCGTTTAAAAAATTAGTTTTTTTGATTGTGTTTTTTAACAAAAACAACTTCACTGATCTTTTTGAGTGTAATAACCAATATTTTAAACAGAAAATTTTTCATTACTTTTCTGGTTAATGTTCCTATAGAACATTAAACAGAAAGATAATGCTATAATAGTAAAGCTATAGAGACTTCATGGTTCACCATTCAGGATAAAAAGTTAATGACAAGAAACAATTAAAAATAAAAACTTGGAGTTCAGTACGTGCAAAAACTTTATTTGAGTGAAAATGCGTGCGTAATAAATAAAATTTTTGTCAACTGTTTAAGGGGGAAGCCCCCCCCTAAACAGAAGTATTAAACATTTTAAACAAAATCAAGAATATAAAACATCAATATAATATGAATAAACAAAATCCTTGAAAAAAAATACAAAATGGTTTTTGGTTGCCATAGTAACCACAAAAAACACATAAAAATGGGCAAAAAATGCATTCACACCGGCCATAAAAACTAAATAACCGTGCAAGATCTCTTAAAAAGCTTTCACCAAATGCTTCACAAAAGGTCAAAGGGTGTTTTAATAGCGGCATTTTTCTGTAACTAAAAATCTGAGCGATGGGTGCACATTTAAAGATGGCGAAAATATTTTTTATTCAAAATATTAAAAATAAAAAAATTTAAACCTCAATTTAAAAAACTGTTTCTATTAAACCACAGTTTATAATCATAGAAACAACTCCAGAAAATTTTATCAAAATTGGTAAAACGGTTCTTGAGATAAAATGGCCGGCGTATGAAAAAAGACTATTTTGAGAAAACGCGAAAAGAAAAAAAAATTAGCATATAAAACTTTAAAACTTTAAGTAAAACACATATTATAGTTAAAATATCTAATAAAAAGTATTGGAAACCTCCTATACAACTTCCCTTCCTCTATACAACTTCCCTTCTTTTTTTTTTTCATTATCATTTTTATTATGTTTTTTGCCACAAATAATTTTTTGTCGCAACTTGTTTTTATTAATATTTATGTATTTGGAACGTGATAGTTGTTTTTAGTTTAAATTTTTACAACCTTTAAGAGTATATGCTCCTGGAATTATTTCGAAAAATTCATAAACTAAAATCGAGGTTTTCGATCAATGCTAAAATTAGCCACTGCATCATAAACTCCAAATTCTAATTGACTGAATTATATAAATTTCATTTTAGGTAAGTATTTAGGTAGTATTTTGTGTCTTACCAAGTAAGCACTTTTCTAAATGTTAGTCAGCACTGAGTTCTGCAAAGATTGGTTTGATTTTATAAACAATAGCTATTGGTAAACCTGGTCCAGGTTTATAAGTTTCTTTTAAGTTGTACCATTGGCTTTACCTGAATTATATTTGCACCAATTATCAGCTCCAACTGGGCAATGTGGAAAATGTAGATTATTCTCCTTGTTGGAGGCAACATAATAAAGTGATGCCAGGGTACCAGGTTACATAGATGCTAAATCTCATTACAATACATTAGCTCTAATTGAAACACCAAAATAACTTTGCAACCGATCAATTGTTGCATCTGTTAATTTAACTCTACCACCAAGGTTTTTAGTTTTTTTTTCAACTTTTTTTAATCTTGTACCTATACGTTTTCATCACATGAAACATCAGTATCAACAATATCAGTATTCGAATCGTGTCTGATTTCCGCAGTAGCATCACACATAGTCTCTATTGCTACTTTTTTCACAACTTTAGAGATTTTTTAGCAAGCTTGTCATAGTTATTTGTAGTCATTGGCGGAGGAATATTCGTAAAAGAAGTGAAGTTTTTAAGTCCTGCGTGACATTGACCCAACGACCGCATTGTCTAAATAACTCGCTTATTTATGTTGTATCCCTGCTTACCTTTTTTTTTTATAGTACAAATATTTTTGAAAAATAAACAATTTGAACATTTTAAAACTAAAAAGGAGCAAGTCCATGTTGATCTTTTGAGTTGTCAGACAACACAAGAGAGTCTTCATTGAAGCACATTGGACAAATGAGTTCTTTAAAAATAACAAATAACACTTCTATATCTATAATTCTATATCCAGACAGTAGAGTACAAGATTCAACTACATCAATTTGTCGTATTTTTGAATGTGGTGCTGGAATATTTACAATATTATCAGAAGCGTCAGTCAGACAGTGAATCACAGTGTCATTATTAATTAAAATATTTACAATTGGAGTAGATTCTTTATTTACACTATCAACAACAACTTCTTCTTCATAAAATAATGAATTTTCAACTGGAAAAGATCTATACTTTTTCATAACAATAATAGTTCGACGTTTTACTCTACAACATTTTGGCATTCTTGTTAAATTAAAATTAATTTAAGTTTGTTTTTGTCTCTTAATCTCGCTTACTTTTGCTTAGCTGAACAAGAAGTATAATAGAATGAAGCATCCTAACCTAAGTTAGGCATTTCACATAAGTTTTTTTTTTTTTTTTTTTTTTTTTTTTTTTTTTTTTTTCAAATACGACAAAAAAATTACACTTTCGATATAACGAAACATCAACTTACCATTAAAAAACCAAAAATTTCTACACTTTAGAATGATTTTTATGAAAAACAAATTACATAAATGAAATCTATGGTAATTTTTATGTCTAAAAACGGTCATACTTAATTTTTGTTTTTTTGATGATTTTAGAGGGAGTTTCCCCCTTAATGTTTTCGTGATTTTTTTACATTTAGTACAATTAGTAATTTTAACTACAAATAATTGAAATTTGGTGCCAAAAATGGAAAAAGCTAAAGATATATTAAACAAAGAAATTTCAGATATATAATTTATCAAAACACTAAAATCCTAAAAAAAATTGCAAACTTAGTTAAAGTTTCTGCGATAGCAGTTAGTAGAATCAAAGGTAAATTTAATAAAAAAATACATGTACAAAGGGCTAGAATTAGAAAATGTGGGTGAACACGAATCACTACCCTAAGAGATAAATGGACAATTCATTACATTTGTATGAAAATCCGAAGAAAAAGAACAAAAGTAGTTACTAAAATCATAAAAGAAACCTGTATTAAGATTTCTAACAAAACTGCAAGACATCGAATAGCAGAACTGGTGTTTAAATGCTTCAGACCTTAACTTACGCCAGTGATAAAATTAAAACGCCAAACCTAGGCTAAACAACACCTACATATATCTGCTAAAGATTGGAAAAATGTAAGTAAATATTTAATTGTTTATTGTAACCGTACCACTGATTAAAACATTTATGTGACTTTTGATATTATTTTTAATTTTTTTCCGGTGTGTTTCTCAAATGAGTCCTAATTTGAAGTATTAATGGATAACTCTTTTTTGTAAGACGAAGGAAAGAAAATAAATATAACCCAGACAGTATGACGGAGACAGTAAAAAGGTGATGATGTGAACAGTTAAAAGTGGTAAGGGCAGTGGCCTTCTTAATATAAATGAAGGTATAATGAACCAGGATAAATATATAAAAGTGTTAGCTACCAAATTATTTTCTTATTTACATGGTTGGTTTAAAAATTTAAAAATCAAAGAAGCGTTACACATTATGTGGGGAAAACCTGATCTTAATAAACAGATTTTTAATTACACGCTATCACTCCAGTTCTAATCGACGTTTTTTATTACTCTATGACGTATGTATTACA